TCAATGGCAGTATGTGCACATCCTCTGCTTTTCCTCTGGCTTCGGCTGGGTTTCTGTGCAAAGCAGATACGGAGGCATCATTGAAAAGGGACCCCAAAGGCATACAACTGAGAGAAGCAGGGGAACTGACTTCCACAGCCACCTACATTTTGGGAGGAGGTGACACACAAATAAGGAAAACTGATTTTTCTACCATGCTGATAATCTCATGCATAGCAGAAAAGGGACTGTTGCCTGCAGAGGTTGTGCTTCCAAACAGGCTGTTTGCTGCTACGGCATCCAGTCCCAGTGCGAAAGATGACAGCTTTAATCTCTTTGGGAAAGGCAAAGCCACAGAGGTTAACCAAGGCGGTCTTTGCAGCATCAAGATACTACACAGCAGTTATAAGATCCAGGTTTACTCTGATAGCTGCGCTCCTGTAGGACTGATTGCAGGGAATAATCATGGTTTGGGACCCAAGGGAGAGCACAGATAGTGACACCACCCGCAGTTTGTAGGTACAAGAGGAGGTGACTTGGTCCTCAGCGGCTGCCTGCCTGCTTATTCTGCGTTTGTGGCTGTGCCCAAAGCCCTGCAGACTCCCAGGTTTCTTAGTCCACAGAAATGAAACAGCTGGCAAGAGCAAGGTGGAAAGCGAAGGCTGGCAAAGCATTTTCGAGGAGTTCTTGATTGCTTTGGTCTCACAAGCACCACACAGAAGAACCTCAGACCTTGAAGGGCCTCACCACATCCATGTGCCGCTCGCACTGAGCCCATCAGGCTGCCAGGGCCAGAGCAAGCGTCTCTGTCACCTCTTTTCCTGCTTGAAGTAATAATTTTAGTCAAAAGGGGAAAGGACCAGTCATTGTCAGCAGCTGATAGGTCTCCAAGACCCACAACCAAGATACACCAAGAAATGTTTATGCAAATCTCATTAAAATGTGTCCATCCTCTTTCTGTGAGAGTCAAAAAGCTCCGGTACCATCTGCCAGAGCAACAAGTGTCCAAAGCTGTCTGCATTGGGCTAAACCAGAAGCTGATCTCAACACGGCCTGTTGAGAAACAAATTGAAACACTTGAGGATTTACTCTCAGTCAACCTCTAATTGCAGAGTCTAGTAATCATCAGGCGATGAGATCTGAAATGTGGATCAAGCAACAGCTTAAGCAAGTGAGCATTGCAACAAAAATACAGAATGCACACACGGACATTATTTTTTGCAAGAATGAATCAAAGCTCCTTACTCTGCCGGTACTGTGCAACAGCGCTGGTTATTTTCAGAGGTAGAGTTGGAGGTGCTCATACTCCACGGAGGGCACTGCTCCTGTGTAGCAAGGCACAAAGGGTCCCCTATTAATCTGAGCCAAGATTACCTACAGAGCCGGGCTTTGCACCCGGTTTGTGTTTAGCTACCGCTGACTTCATTCAAGGGTACGAGCCCACGAAACTTGTGCAAGCAGTCCCTGCTAAGGCGCTTGCACGTTTAGAAGGCAGTGGAGCAAAACCACACTTGAGTCACAGCTGAACACACTTGATGGGGGAGACACTGAGGTATTTCAATATATTTAGATCAGCCTGGATCATCTGAAAGAGCATAAACAGCAAAAAAGGAAGAAGGACCGAGAAGGCATTTTCTTTCATAAAGCTGTTAAGGAGTAGTCAGAGAGAAATGAAAAGGGCAAAGAAAAGATTAACACTTACTTTGTGTCTCTGGCTGCAAGAGAACAGATATTTTCTTAAGCAAGAATCTGATTACTGAGAGCAGATGATGAGGAATTAAGAAACCAGGAGATAAGATCAGGAATAGTTAATAAAAAGCTTGGGATCCATAAAACCAGTAAAAGGGAAAGGCCATATGCAGGCATGCTGAAGGAAATGGGGAAAGAAATTAGAGACGCTTTAGCAAACCTTTTCAGAAGTTCAAGAGAAATCCCTTGGGACTGGAAAATGTAACAAAAAGCAAGTGCTGAGGGAAAACAACCTGAGGGCAAATCAAGGCTACATCTAGTCCGTTTGAAATCCATTGCTGGAAAGTCTTAAAGCTCTTTAAAAGATCAATTTGGAGAAATACTTAGAAGAGCCTAAGAGCACCTCACTAAGTTGCCTGAATTCACTGAGGTTGTTATTGGCAGAGCAGAACAAAGTAGTGGCACATGGTGAGAATTTCTGAAACAAGGTCTAGCTCGAAAATTATTTTTAAAAGGAGAAAATGAGAAGTACCTGAGTGGAAACCAGATGACCCATGCAAGAAGAGAAAAACTCGCTAAGATGTATTTGTCGCAATTGTCCTTCCAGCTTCAATCCCTGGACAAATTGCATGGCAAATCCAACTGTTATCAGGAGAGTTTTGTAAAGCAGTTTTAAGTTATGTTAAAAATTGTAACACTGCATAAGACATTACAAAGACAACCATACACGTCCAGCCCGGAGTCACATGCAGAAATGTTAAGCTGGCACTCCCTGTTGGATTTAGCTAAATGTGGAAACAAACCTCCGTTGTCTTTGCCGGGATGACACAAAAAGACAGCAACAGTCATACAACTGCAGTACTGCAAACAGTACTGAAGCAATACGCTTTCGTTGCTTTAATTGAAGCAGATGTGGTTTATTAACTAATAAAAATAAAGCTAGAAAATTCTGACCATAAATACAAAGATAAAGACAAAGGTAACATAGACATGAAAACCTAGAATATAAACTTTTTAAAAAGAGTTTTAATATTGGTAAGATATTTAACTAGGTGATACTATTTTGGTGTTTCTATCTAAGCTCCCCCACCAGGATCAATTCGCAGGAAGTGGCACAAAGTTAATCTCCAGTTTCTACTGTTTTACTTTCTATGCTCTGTGTAGTGTTTTTTCTATCGAGTTTTAATTCCTTTAAAACAAAGTACTGCAGCTTATATTCCCAGTGTTGCTATAATGCTTTGTAACTTCTTCTGTCTGTGCTAACATTTCAAAAATAGCTAACTGGAGGAAAAAAAAATCTAATATCAATGTTGTAATTAATTCCATCCACCTCATTAGGCAGCAGCATCTTATAAAACAGCGAGCGCGATCACCTCATCCGTGTGTCCGGCTAACAACGCCATCCCTCTGCACTGGCCAGAGAGAAGCTGTGCTTGTGGCTGGCCAGGCATCCCTGCAGTTTGCTCAGGCAGTCCCCTGCTTTAAACATTAACTTAAATAAAAGCTGACATGAAAGCCGTTGCAAGGACAGATGAGAAAAGGACTATGAAGAGGAGGTATCAGCAGGTCCCACATCTGTGTTTGCATCTAAAAGACTGGGGGGAGCCAGCGGTGTGCCCCTTACAGGGGTGTGCGGCAATGGCAATGCCCAAAGTCGCCTTTCTCCTTGCCAAGAGCGTGCTCAGGCCAGGAGGGCAGCTACACAGCCATGCGCCAGCACTGAGCACATCGGCCATCTCTGGGATGGGGCGGCCGGGACACAAGCCCAGTAAATCTGTGGGCATCAGAGCTGTAGGAACCCAAGGGAGGAGCTGCAGCAGGGACTGAGCCCCAAACGCTGCTGGCTCGGGAGCCCCAGGGTGGCCGGAGGAGCTGGCAAGGGACTTCACTCTCAGCAGGTGCCCAGAGATCAGCGCTAGAGAAGAGCTTACCTAAAAAAATGTAATGACCTAGGAACTCATAAAACATAAACATCACTGGAAAAGTGTTTTGAAATACCAGGGAGAAAAGGAGACAGCAGCAATGAATGTCTGAGTCTTGAAAACATCCAGCTGGTGAAACTGCGCTGGTGGGGACCCGCGCTGAGCTGTGGCTGCAGAGTGAGGAACACGTACACAGAAAGCCATCGGACTGACAGGGAGCCTGGGGAGCGGTGCGTTTCACAAGGCTTGGAGAAGCGCAGCCAGTATGCCTGTCATTGTAGCACAGGGATACCAGGACATGGGGCAGATACTGAGAGGACCTGTAAAATGCTCCACCTCAAACCCCAAAGCCAGAGGTGAAAAAATTACAGGCAGCTTCGATCACGCAAATGCGATGTTTAAGGAGTGGGGCTGAATGACCTCCAGTATGAGGAACTACCGTAAGACTTGCATGCAAGTAAGATGGCAAGTGAATAGAAAACATGATGACCATCCATACCTATATCTACATTTGTGTCATCTATTAGAGCTTTTGAATATGCAGGAAGAAGGATTAATTTTTCAAGAGAATCCAGAAACATATAAAAACCTTTCCAAAGCCTTCAGGGATGCCACTGGAAAATCCCTTGACAGTTTTGTTAGTTGCACAACACACACCAAGATAGAACACAGCAAGCAAGTGCTTCTGCGCTTGCATCCTCTTATATTCCTCTTTGCATGTATGGAAACTGGGTAAGCTTTGGAGCTCACTGGGGACAGATCCGTGACCATAGTGACCGCGGGAACGCCAGGGTTGTGGCTCCAGAGGCCCTTATGGGACAGAATCACAGAGTCAGCATGGCTGAGGCTGGCAGCCACCGCTGGAGACTCCAGCCCAACCCTTGCTCTTGCAGGGTCAGCCGGAGCAGGCTGCTCAAGGCTGTGTCCAGTCAGGGTTTGTGTATCTCCAAGGATAGAGACTCCACAACCTCTCTGTGCAACCTGTGCCTGTGCTGAACCACCCAGTCACACCATACAAATGGGATTTCTTATCTGCAAATGGAGTCCCCTGTGTTTCTGTGTGTGCCATTGCCTCTTGTCCTGTCCCTGGGCACCACTGAGAAGAGTCTGGCTCCCTCTTCTTTACCTCTCCATCGAGTATTTATGCACATGATCACCCTGAGCCTTCTCTTCTCCAGGCTGAACAGTCCCAGCTCTCTCAGCCTCTCCTTGTATGAAAGTTGATCCAGTCCCTCCATCACCTTTGCGGCCCTTCAGTGGACTCAGCACAGTATGTCCCTGTCTCTCTTGCACTGAGGAGCACTGGACACAGCACTCCAGACAGGTCCCACCAGTGCAACGCTCTGCCTAATGCAGCCCAGGACACATTGGCTTCTTCACTGCATGGGTGCATTGCTGACTGATGGTCACCTTGACTCCCAGGGGTCCACCAGGACCCCCAGGTCCTTCTCTGATAAGCTGCTTTCCTGTTGGTTGTCCCCCAGCATGTACTGGTGCATGGGATTATTTCTCCCCAGGGACAGGGCTTGCCTCTTCCTCTTGTTGAACTTCAGGACGTTCCTCTCTGACTGTCTTCTCCATCCTGTCCACATCCCTCGAATGGCAGCACAATCACCCAGGGCATCAGCCACTTCTCCCCGTTTCATATCATCTGCAAACTTGCATCTTTGTAGAGGGCTATCAGGTTGGTTAAGCTTGATTTCTCCTTCATAAATCCAGGCTGACTACTCCAAATCACTTTCTTGTCCTTCATATGTCTGGAAGTAGTTTCAGGGATTAGTTGCTCCATCATCATTCCAGGGATCAAAGTGAGGCTGACCAGCCCGTAATTCCCTGGGTCCTCCTTCTTGCTATTCTTAAAGATAGAAGTGATATTTGCATTCCTCCAGTCTCCAGGAACCTTTACTGATTGCTGCATGCATATTCAGGTAGCTCTTAATTTTCATGGCACTCCATCATAGACTAGCAGAAAACACAGAGCAAACATCAAGAACGTCCATTTGTTTGGTGTTCGCCATGTGCGGAGTACCGAGAGAAGACTTTGTATCTAAGACATAGCTGTGAGGAGATTGAAACTGTAATGTGTCCCTGCTGTCTTTCAGTTATGCTGGTCCAAATCCAAAGCAAGTCCAGCATCTCTGGGCAGGTGCTGAGGAACAGGTTTCTGAAACGTGGTCGGTTCCTGGCCATAAGCCAGCTTTCCCTGTAGGGCCACAGCAGAAGTGGCCGGCACTGCCCTGCTGCCAAGCAGCTCCCCAAAGCAGGGCACATCACGGGGCAAGAGTTACTTTAGGTGCCATCATCAGGTGAGAGCGCTTCCCACGAAGAGCCGGTACTGCCTGGGGAAGGGTCCTGGTGACATCTGTGCTGTTACTGTGAGAATCCACAGGAGCATTTTGTTGGCCCCAGCCATGTGTGGACCGGATTAGCATAAAAAGCTGTTCCTAAATCCTACTCGCAGACTTGATGTCTGTGCAACCATCTCAGGTAAGCAGGTAATTTTCTTTACTGAAGTAGGTGTAAGCCTTAGGCAGATAAAGTGATCACAGAAAAAGGACGTCTGCCTTATTTATCCTCCAATGTGGAAAAGGTTTGTAGCAGAATAAGCACAACTTTATACTGGCAATTACATCTGTGAGATTTGCATTACTTTCTCTTGTATCACAGCGTATGTTCAAACGTGTACACTTTTCTATGTAAATCCAGAATTATCCTCTATACGTGGTGTAACTGAGAAACCTGCTTCTTTGCATGGCTTTTCGCTTCACTGCAGTTAGGTTTCTTAGCTAAACCCAGGAGTCACGTGCCGTCCCGCTGGGGGAAGCCAGCGAGAGGAGATTAGGGTCAGGCCAATAGGTGACAACAAAGTCAACTGCATTCATGTGTGTCCAGTTTATTCATAACTGGAAATCTCCTAGATCTGGCAAAATAACAGAAGATTTAATAGGATGCGTGTAGTTCCTGGCCTGTCTCTGTTGGAAGAACTTGTTGAAATCATGTCTAGAGGTCTGGCTTGGGGGCATTCTGGGGAGGTAGATGTTATATCCTTATTGCTTTCTAGGTAAAAAGGGAGTGATTAAAGGCCTGGATCAGAACAGGCCCTTTTATAGAGAATTACAAATGCCAATCCCAATGTTGAAGTTCAGCCCCAAAGGGGATCTGGAAACAAATTTCTGAAAGAAGCAAGGCAGCACTTTATGGACACCTTCCACCTTCAGGACTGCTGAATCCTTCTCCCACCTCTTAATCCAAAAGCAAACTGGCAGAGTAAAGAAAAGAGATTTGCTCAGAAAGCGAGCAGAGGCCCAGGGATGCAGCACCTCCAGCATGGCTCCCTGCTGGGGCTACAACAAGGGCACGTGGAGAGGGCTCAGAGCAGGACAGACCCTCGGTGTCTGTCTCCCATCCTCCGAGCTGCTCCTCTGATGAGCCCCTTTCCCTCTCCATCCTGCTGCCCAGCACCATACCCCAAAAGTGGAGTCTGTCCCCAAAACTCCTACAAGCAAGCCCAACAAATGATGCTGCAGTTCCTCCATTTCTCTCCGGGTTGCTGCCGGTGCCCGGGCATCAAGAAAGGAGCCCTTTCTGCTAGATCCTCAGCTGGCTGAGGCTTCACAGAGCAAAACCACAACCTGAAACTGCAAACAGCAATTCTCAGACAGATCATGGGGCCTTCAACTTCAGAAGCAGCACAAGATATACGTGTTAATTTGTGGTTAAGGCCTATTTATCTGGAACAGCACTAGAGGGTGGCTTGGCCTTTCCTGTAGCACAGCAGTTGGAATTGCCAAAAGAAAGAGGCATTAAAAGTTAATAAAAAAGTCTGAAACACGCTCATTAAAATACTTGGAAAACTTCACAGTTTGGCTTCATACCATAGAGCGAGTATGTGAGAACTTGACCGGGCTTGCCTGCCTCCCTAGCAGACTGTCTTGACTTAATACTTTAAAAAAAAATCACCTGGCGCCTGATGCCGTGTTAAAAAGCCCCTACCATGTCAGATACTGTTGTAATTTGCCCTGGAAATGCATCTGAAGCAAAGGAATGTGTGAGCACAAGTCCAGAGCTCAAACAGGGGAAATACTGGTTGTTATACAGATCAGTGGATACAGATGGTATTTTATTTATTTTAACCCTCAGCCCAAAGTTTCAGGGGCTGATAACTCCGCCACCCCACTCTGGTTCATCCAGCCTCTGGATGGACGGACGTTGCAGCTCTTGCTCCCAGAACAGGCTCTTTGGATACCACGGTATCGAGCGGCCTGGCCATATCTGGAGCCATTTCAAGGAAAATCTAGCCCTGTATTTGACCTCATTCTTCTATTTACTCACCACACTAATTAGGTCAGGCGGAGGGAAGGCCAACAAGACAGGTAGGATGGACTATTTGCATAGCTGCAAGCAGTTTCTATCTGATTGAGTGGAGTGGATTGAGCCATAGGTAGATTGTGGGTCAAGAGGTTGTTTGAGTTTCACATTCGTGGATGCACTCTCCACAGCCAGTGTTTTGGTTACGCGGCTCCACAGCACTCTGCATTGGCTGCTGGGTCATGAACTGAGGCCTGGATCTCAAGCTGCTGAGCATCAGGACTGCTGCGGTTATGTATCCATGCGGCACCTCGAGGACAAACCCAACAGTGATTCAGTGAAGGCTGCCCACTTTCCATCTCAGCCATATGGTCTGCCTGAAAGCGTGAGCTTTGATGGTGTTAGAGAGTCTGATTTATCAACAGCGGAAGCCATCTTTGATCTAGTATTTAGTTCTAAGGTAAAAATTAAAAGATATATGAAGTACCCGTGGGGGATTCTTTGCCTAATCCTTGTACCTCCTTCCCCACCGTTTCTCCGGGATGCAGAGCCTTTGGCTAACATTCCACTGTCACATTTGGGATTATCCTGCAGAACATCACGTACATCCTGCTTCCTTCAAAGAGCAATGACTACCCTGGGACCAGGACATAGTATTGACTTTTGCACCTATTGTAGTTTCTGTGAGTGCAAGGTGTTGGACTTGGTGGCCTTTTCCCTGGACGAGCTCTCAGAGTTTTCAGGTATAATATATGGAGCCTTATGGCGTTTTTACGGTAGGGCTGAGCAAGGTAACTAGTTAGTACTTTTCCTTTTGCCTAGGCTGTATGATGAGCATATGATCACACACCATTTCGTCAGCAGTGGATTGCTGTTCCCAGACATGCTTCCTTCAGGAGCCTGATATAGAAGATTTGAGCTACGTGTCCTTCATCCTGCAAAATCGCAAGGCAGGGCTATGAGGAGGCACAGGACAAGTTCAGAACAGGCAGGCTGTGCAGGGCTCACTGGGATCCACGCAACACCATGTGTAAGAAAGACAGGAGGGAAAGCATTTTCAGCCTCCCCACCCGTGCCCTCTGCCCAAAATGACTTCTGCTTGAAGAGCATCACAGCGCTGAGCAGCCAGCACCTTGCTTAGTTTGGGTGACTGAATCCAGAATCTCTGTGGAGGAAGCACACCTTAGCATCCCTGTACGGCAATGACTGCTCTTAGAGCAGTTCTACCTGTAAACAGGGCCACAGCCCTCTGCACCCTGGAAGCACATAGTATCAGGTATGACCTGTTCCCAAGGGCTTCATAAAGAGGAGAGATTCCTGGCAAAACCAAGAGCAGGACCCAGCTTCTCCAGACCCCTTCACCCTCTCTGCTCTCTTCACAGGAAGCTCCCTGAAAGACTTCTTAGTAGGAAAGGGCCGCTGCTGAAGGGATGGAAAGGAGCCCACACAGTGGATGGTATGCACATGCCTGCCTTCTACAACTTCTCTATTATCAGTAAAGAACAAAGAAATAGCAGATGTATATCTGATGTGTTTACATGAAAGCTGCAGTATTTACTGATGCTTTTAAGGTTATATTTTACTTCAGTCAAGCATCGAAAAAAATGTGGGGAATATCTTGCAGTTGGTTAGCTAAACACCTTTTCCTGCCTTTGGATTGGGTAAGACAGATACTCACAATAAACTTTATCTGGGGGACAGTTCAAGGAATTGGCAAGAGAGTCCAAAATCCACTAACTCAAGGTCACTCATCCACTCAAGGAGTCCAGGCTGGCTGAGCAGTGACCGTAAATCATCACATTTGACACTGATTCAGTTGCCTATGTAAAACGCAAGTCAGTCTGCACACAGTTCCCAGGGGAGGAGCACCGTACCACAACTGCCAGCTACAGAGGCAGTAACCGGTTGCTTCTGTGAAGAGGCCCAGGCTCCACTGGGCACGGAAAGATAATTTTCCACCTAATCAGTGGGAGTTCTAGTCAAAGGAGTTCTATCACTGGAGTTCTAGTCAAAGCATGTATGTACATAGGAGTGTGGCCAAATCTGTCACCTAATGGATGGAGCTATAAATCCAAGAAATTGCAGTCTGCAAACACAACCAGGACACGCCCTGTGTACTCCTGCCCATCACACCAAACCCTAGCAGGAGACATAATGTCATGGCCTTTCCTCTTGGCACCCTAACAACTTTCTTGGAGCCATGTAGGCACCATCACTACGGTATCCTAATACGTCCCAGTGACCCAGTGAGACAGGGAATTTTACAAATGGGAAACTGAGAGAC